TCCAGTACAAGCAAGGACGGGAAGGCAGGAGGGGGGCAGGTAGGTCAGCAGTGGCTCCTGACCATAACGCATCCCACAGACGCCCAGGACCAAAACCAGCAGTGACGACTTACACAGAGGAACTGAGTCTGCCACCCTGTGGGAGAGAAGAGCACCGTGTTTGTGCCCCATGTCCACGAACACACGGCAAGGAGCCGCCCTGGGTACCTGGAGGCACAGCTCCTGGGCAGGGCTGTGTGAGCCACGGGGTCCTTTTGCACTTCCTGGATACTGGTCCAGGGTCCAAGTCTTCTGGCAGAGACCCCTGCTGGTCTGTGAGGACTGGAGGGGCAGCAGGCAGCCAGGGCCATCTGGGTGGGGAGAGCAAACTACTGCTTGGGCCTCGGTGCTCCAAGTCTGATGGGTGGGGTGCTGACGGGCCAGTGCATTACTGCCAGGGCCACTGGGTGAAGTGGCCAGGCTCAGTGCCAAGGGGAGAGGCTGCAGGGCAGCCAGGGAGCAGGGCTGGTCACAGGGCCCAAGGTCCTCCTCCGGGCACCGGGCGCTGACCCAGCGGGACCAGATGGTTGTCTTCACACAGGAGTGCTGGCCGCCAGGGCGGAAAGCTCAGCAGAGCCGTGCAGCTGGCCCTCATCTCAGCTCTTCTCCTTGATGTTGTTTTTCCTGGAAGACCAGTTCTGCAAACCCCATGGGCCCTGGCCAAGAGCAGTGGGGGTGCAGCGGTGGGAGCCGTGACAGACTTGGACTCGACGCCTCCCCTCTTCTGTCTTCTCTGAGCCTCTTCGGAGCAAAGGCGAGGAAGCGGGGAGTGGCCAGTCTGGGTGGAGGCTGAGTTCACAGGGGAAACCTGCCTCGCTGCTGTGTCTCCTGCTCTCGACTACCCCCCAGCTTCCTGCTCAGGGCCTAGCTGGTACCCACCCACTAAGTGTCCCTAAGGCCCTGAACCCTTAGAGCAGGGCCCAGATGGAGGGGAGAGGGCTTAGGACAGAGGCTGCTGGGTTCCTCATAACCACGGGGGGGGGGGCCGCCTGGTGGGAGCAGGGTGGCCAGTGCCTGTGTCCTGGAGCCTCCCTGCTGGCACCCCCCCCCCGCCCCCAACGCATCTACCCACTCCCCCGGCCCCTCGAACCAGGCCTGAGGAACTGCCTCTTCACTCCACACCAGGCTTCTCATTTGGTCCTTGAGGATGGCAGGACCGTGAGCAGGAGTAACCCTAACCCACCCCACCCTCTCTCTGCCCACAGACAGCTGCCTTCTTCCCTGTGAGCTCTGCTGTGTCACCTGCTAAGGGTGCAGCCTTTGCCACTGGCTTGTGCACTTCTCTTGGATCACATTTGAGTTTGGGCGCGCATGCATGTGCACACGCACACTCAAACACACACGCAACCACATGCCCCAGCCAGCTCTCTTTGGGTCTGTCTTCTGTGGAGACCCCATTTGTCTCTTGTCGCTCTGTTGCTATGTCTGCTTTTATTTTATTTTTTTAAGATTTTATTTATCTTTAGAGGGGAAGGGAAGGAGAGAGGGAGAGAAATATCAATGTATGGTTGCCTCTTGTGTGTCCCCTGCTGGGAACTGGCCCGCAACCCAGGCATGTGCCCTGACTGGGAATCGAACCGCGATCCTTTGGTTCGCAGGCCTGCGCTCAATCCACTGAGCTACGCTAGCTGGGACCGTGTCTGTTTTTTAATGTGCCTTAAGTCTCATTACCCCAAATTCACAGAGCTTTGTTAGTCTCTAAATTTAGGGGCAAGATTCTTGAATTTGCTGAAAAGAGACAGCTAGCATTTTGTCTGGGATTGCAGTGAACTCCCATACTAATTTGGAGAATATGCATTTTCACCACATGAGCACAGGGGTTCTGATGGTTTAGTGTCCACATGCAGGCCGGTGCCCTCTGCTGATTCCCAGACCATTGGCTGCCTGGTGGCCAGTGCCAGGTACCTTCATTCTGGACCCAGCACAGGTGTTACTCTGCGTGTCCACACAACAGAGAAGACAGTGAGGGACATGGAGTCCCTTCCCTCATCAGCAAACACTGCCTGGGGGCCACTCGCCTGGATGATGGGAGTTAGACTAGCAAGTTAAAGCGCCCAGTGTGGCTTCAGCTCTGGCATGTAAAGAGCTTAGATGTTGTAGCTCCTGTCCTTACAACAAGGAAAAGCTGAAAACTCAACAACTTTTCTTGGGTTCCTCACAGAACCAAGGTCACCGGGCAAGCCAGCACCCTGAAATCTGGAGAGACAGGTAACAGGGTCCCCGCGGGGACCGCTCACCCAAGCAGAAGCCACTGGAGCCACGACACGCAGGTGACTTGAAGGTGACTGCTGGAGGCTGTGTGGACTCGGGTGGCAGTGAGAAGCTCTGGGGAAGGGAGCCCCCGGTCAGTAGATTCTCCGTCCTGCTGCGGGAGCTTCGTCCAGAGGAAGCCTGTCTCCGCACCACACACGCGGCCCTTGCTGTGTGTGGACCTGCGAGGCGGTCGCTGTCGTGGCTGCAGGGCTCTCACCGCACCACCACACCCGACGTCCATTCCAACGTCGGACAGGGCAGTTTCGAGAGGCACTTCTGGGTTTTGATCCTTACGCTAAAAGCAGCTGTCAATGCGCCCGTACACATCTTTTCGTCACTGTATGTCTGCGTTTGTTGGGAATTTACCAGGAGTGGAAGTGCTGGGTCTCGGGTGGGCTCCCTGGGAAAGACTCTGAGATAGGCGTGCGCACGGCTGGTTCACACATGAGCAACCTCAGCAGCGCCCTCCAAGTCACCGGGAGGCGTCACCGGGCAGAGGGCGCTCGGCACTGAGACCTTCCGAACTGTCCTCCGTGAGCCAGAGGGGCCAGATCTTTGTACCACAAGTCACCTCGGTGCTGCGTGTCAGCCTCCCCGGGAGTCAGTTCTGCGTGGCTGAGGAGTATGCCCAGGGAGGACACGTGTGAGCTGTCAGCACCCGGCGCGTCGGGTGGCCGTGGAATGGTCGCTGTGGCCCCCAGGGGAGAGGTGGGGGCCCCAGTACAGGCCGCCCTTTGCTCCCCTCGGAGCCAACGTGCAGAGCAGGTTTGCCTGTCTAGGAGCATCCCACATGTGACTCAGACGTCCTTTTTTTCTGGAAGGGATCCGGAATCAGTTAATGTAACCTCACAGCGGGAGTTGGGAGTGCACCCTCATTGGTATCCTCTGGAAGTTGGGGTGAACTTATTTCTTCTTCAGGTATGTGTGAAGACCAACCCCTGGATTGTGGTTTTCTTTGAGGAGTTGTTTTTTAGGCTCATTTCTTTAACGCGATAGAGTTGTCTGATCTTTTAGGTCCTGGGTCAGTGATGGCATGTGGTTTAGTTCTTCTGAGTGGTTGGCATATCTCGCCCCTCTGGTGACCTCAAGAACCGCAGTGATGCCCGACTTCCAAGTCCTCAGAGTGGATGTACTTGTCTGATTCTCTTCATTTATCTGTCAGTTTTCCAGGTTTACTGACTCAAAGAACCAGCTATGGAGGACTTGACTGGTCGTCTCTCCTGTTTGTTTTCCATGTAATTCTAGTCTTACAGATACTATTTCTGCCCACTATTTTTTAAAAGTATTTTATTCATTTATTTTCAGAGAGAGGGGAAGGGAAGGAGAAAGAGGGAAACATCAATGTGTGGTTGTCTCTCATGTGTCCCCCACTGGGAACTGGCCTGCAACCCAGGCATGTGCCCTGACTGGGAATCGAACTGCGATCGTCTGGTTTGCAGGCCCGCGCTCAATCCACTGAGCTACACCAGCCAGGGCTCTGGCCACTATTATTTTAAATTCTTTTCATCATTCCTTCTCTGGTTGCTTCAGACATAAATGTATCTTAATTTCAGCCTTTCTTTTCTAATCCCTGCACCTCAGTCTCTCGCTTTTCTCCTAAGTTACTGCTTCAGCTATTTCCATGGTCACTCAGCATTCCTAACAGAGAAAACGAGGGAAGCAAAGTGGGCAGAGCCCCCGAGGGCCTCCCCGAGCAGAGGGAAGACACGGGTTCACCGGCTCACGACGTCCAACGGGTCCTGGGAACAAGTGAAATGGAGGCCCCTGCGCCCCGGGCTGTGGTGACAGAAGGGACGCAGAGCAGAGGGTTCTGAGCACAGCCACAGGAGGGGACCCTGGAGGACGCGACCAGGACTGAGGCCGAGAGCTGACAGGAGGTGCGTCTGGGGTGGAGACACAGCAGCTCCTACTCTGGAGTTCCAGGCTCAGCCGACACCTAATCAAGTATGTGGGCGAGACGACACCTCCATGAACTCCCCACAAAAGGTGTGTGTGGGGAGAACAGGCTCGAAAGACCATTAAGGGTGCACACCAGGAAGGTCGATAGAAAGGAGCAGCCAGAGAACCCAAGAGGTGACCCAGGCGCCGAGTGGTGGTCAGGGGCTGCGAGGGAAAGGCAGGTTGGGGAGGGGGCAGCGGGGCACAGCCCCATGTAGTCAGATGAGTGAGCACAGCCTCGAGTTAAGGCCACGACAGTGCCCAGGAGAGTGGAGGGCGGGGGGAGAGGGGAAGGGCTTTGCGTGGGAGCTCAGGGGCATCCTGAAGCCACGGGGCACAGGGAGGGCTCGGAAGGTGGTCAGGGTGCTGCTGTGTGCGTGGGCTCTGCTCCCCACGTGGCTTTCGGGACAACTGGAAACCATCGGCTGTGGTCTGTGAAAGACACACAGTTTCACAAGCACTGGCCCACTGTGGGGTGCACGTCTCTGTACGTTGTGGAACTGGGGTCCCTGCTCTCCCAAGTCCCAGCATGCGTGAGGAAGCGGCACGGAGAGCCGGTGGGCCCCTGTCCCGGCCAAGGCTGGTGCACAGACTGCTCCACTGCCTGGCAACTCCCTCGCAGCAGCACACGGCCGCCTCACACTAGAGGACACGTGACCACTGCCCCCCAGGTCCCCAAGGCTGCCTGCTCAGCCCCCAAGGCCATGACAGCCAGGACCGAGAGCTGCCATTGTCGCATGAGACAAAGCCACTGAAACAGACGCTGGGCGTGCCGGCTCTTTCTGGGGTTTTATTTCTTTAAAATAATTCTTACAAATGGTTACAGTCACAAACATGATTTTAACCAAAATATTGCTAGCCTACCACATCAGCAGGACGGCACCTGCGCAGGCCGGGCGCTGCGCCTAGCATCCCCGGGGCAGCGCCGACGGCAGAGCGCGCCGCGTGCACCTGCCTCTCCAGCCACTGCGCAGTGCCGCCTTCATTTGGAACAGGGGGGTTCATGCCAAAATTAGGAAAAACAGCCTTTTGTTTTTCTAAATTATTCTAAAAATAAGACAAGCAGGTAGAAAAAACAATGCACTGAGTGGCATAGAAAGAAAAAGAGGAGGATTCATTGTCCTGAGAAGTTTGCCAGCTGCCTTGCTCCGGCACGTCCCGCAGGAAAGAGGGCCGGTCTGAACCGACGTGGGGCTGGCTCGGGGCGCTGGTCGTGGGCAGCTAAGCAAACAGACCCTTGTGACGCTCTACAGGCTGCACACAGACGAGGACGCTCGTGGTGGAGTTAACTACTAACTGGTTTTGCTCGACGAGGACGCAGAGAACACGGGGCGGCACAGCCGGGCGGGGCCGGGCAGCGTGGAGGAGGCCGGCGCTGCCTCCCGCGCCTGGCGCCCGGACAGTCTCTGGAGTGCCGCTGCCAACCAAGGGCACCTCCCCTGCACACGCCTGTCCAAGGTCGCGGCCCACTGGCGCCGAGGCTGCGGAGCTGCGTCCGCGCTACAACTGGTCACTCGAATGGTCTCTATCCGCCTCGGGCTTCACGGTTTGGCCAGGAGAAGGGGCGTGGGGCGGGTGGGACACGGGGGGCAGGCCGTGGGAAAGGGACATGGCGCTGGGTACAATGCCTTCCACTGCGGCTGGGATGCCACTGGGAGCCACACTCACCACACCTGGGGGGTACCTGCTGGGAGAGGGGGGTGGGCGCCATGAGGCTGGCGGGAGGGCAGGGAGCTGCACCCCAATGCTGCCCGCTGCGCGCACCTGGCCCTGGCCCGATGCCCCTTCCAATGCCCTGGGCCCTGTCCCAGCGTGGCCCCCACCCAGGCCCCCCTTGTGTCCTCTAGGCCCAAAGGCCACCCCTGCTGAGGCTCTAACACCTCAACTTGTATGGCCACTGGGGCTCACGTGAGCACACACGTCCAGGCCCAAGAGCACCCTGCTGGGCCACTGTCCCACCCAGAATCATCATGGGGACCTGTGTGCCCCTGGCCCACTGTGCCCCTCGCCCACCAGCTCACCTGTAGGCGGCCCCATTGAGCTCAGGGTGCACAACAGCAGGGTCCATGCTGGCCCAGTGGGTGGCGGCTGTCAGGTGATCCTTGTTGACACAGTTCTTCAGGCTGTCGGGGATCCGGCCTGAGCGACACAGGAAGGACAGTGTCCATGTGAGACACTGAAGGCGCCCCAGGTATGTGGCAGCTCAGTGGAGAACATGGGGCAACACACGGGAAGTCAGGCTGCAGGGCCCCCCAGCCACACCTCCCTCCCTCGGCTGTGCAGTCCCCCTCCCAACTCAGGGTCCCACCGTCCGTGAGGCCCGGGGATTTTCAGAGGACAGCTGGCAAGGTCCAGTCCAGGTTTGCAAGTGTAGTATGACTTTTTTAAAGTCTAGGGACAAATGACACACAAGCTGAAACCCCTCAGTGGGTGAGAGTGAGCAAGGGTCATGAGTGAGACAAGTGTTGAGGGCCTGGGCTGCTGTGACGTCTACCTCCCTGCCCAGCACCAGCGCAGGAAGGACTTGGCTGAAGGAGTGAGAGACAGAGGTGCCCGGCCCCGGCCACCCAGCGGGCGCGCCCCTCTGAGAGGCCTCCCGCCCAGCCCACCTGTGATGGCTCTCCGGATCTCCCGGGCTGCCTCCTCGCGCATCTCGATGGACGCCTGCTCGCTGTACCAGGCCGCGTGGGGGGTGCAGATCAGGTTGGGGGCATCCTTCAGGGGGCCCTGGCTGAAGCTTAGATAGCACACCGCAGGTCAGTGCCAGGGCCCAGGTGCCACCCTCTCCCTCAGACCCCGTGGGTCCCCAAGACAGTAATGCCTGCCCACGAGTGTCTGAGAGCAGCGGGCAGCAGCCTCACCTGGGAGGCAGGCTGCCCTGGCTCGCAGTGCAGGGTCCTGAGAGCTTCTGACTGTCAGACCCCAGGCCCCGCGGGACCACCTTTCCAGGGTGGAAGACCTCCCAGGGCTGGCCTGCTGCCCACACTTGCTTCTCAGCTGTGGGGGCTCTGGACGTTACTCCATGGGCCTGGCCGCCTGTACCCCTGGGCAACCCATCAACACAGTGCCTTTGGGCATTCAGCAGGAGGTGCAGATCTGAGTCTCTCTCCCTGCCCAGCAGGTACAGGGCACATCCACGCATCGGAACCTCACTTCACAGGTGCTACGCTGGCTGGTGGGAGGTGGGAGCCTGGGAAAGTAAGTGCCCAACTGGGGAGGGGTGCCAGCTCAGGACCACCCAAGCACCAGCAGTGGTCACCTGAAGGGCTCCGACTCATGCACATCCAGGGCTGCCCCGCGTATCCGGCCCTCCTTCAGGGCCTGAGCCAGTGCCTTCTCGTCCACCAGGCCACCACGTGCTGTGTTCACCAGGAAGGCCCCTTGTCTCATCTGCAAGACACCAACCCAGCTCCAAGCGTGAGTGAGCATGGGAGCCTTCTCACGACCCTGTCGCCGGGAGGAGGGCAGGGCAGGGACGTCACACTGGGGCCTTTCCCAGACAGGCCACCGGGCCTGTGGTTCTGCTGGTGAAGGTCCCCAGGGCTGCACCTCACGGCCCTTGCCCCTGGGCTTACCTCACCACTGTGGGAGGCGGCCCTGCTCCCAGCTCCTGCCAGACACAGGGCAACTCAAGAATGCTGGAAGCTGCACCAGGGCCACCACTCAGCTGTGATGGAAACCTCAACCCTTAGGGAACCCCAAGACCCTTGGACCCTGTTCACCCTGTTTGCTGGGAACTTGGCCTCAAAGGCCGCGGGGCTCCACCTCTGTCACAGGCCCACAGCCCTTTTGGAGCCTCGGTACGGATGGTCCAAAGCAGCTTCGGAGCAGGAACCAGGCAGCTCGGCTGCAGGGGTCGGGGAGGGAGCTGGCCTGGGACGAGGGGGTCCCTCGGCCAAGGTGGGAGGCACTGGCAGGAGCGCCATGTGCCGGCTCCAGCGGGCACCCCTGCCACCAGGCTGGACCTCCCCAGCCCATGTCCCACCTGCTTGACGGTGAAGTCGTTGATGAGGTGGTGGTTGTGCTCGTTGAGGCCGCAGTGCAGGGTCACGCAGTCGCTGTGGAACAGCAGGTCCTGCAGGGTGCTGACCCGCTGCAGCCCCAGCGCCCGCTCTGTGCCGTCCGACAGGTACGGGTCGTAGAAGAGCACGTTGAAGCCAAAGGCCTTGGCCCGCAGTGCCACCGCCTGCCCCACTCGACCTGGTGGGAGACTGGCGTCACCTTGGCAGGGGACCCTCCCTGCCTCGGCGCCCACACTGCTCAGCATGAGGTACAGCCCTCTGAGGCCCAAGGCTTCTGTCTCCAGATACTGAGCATGGGGCTACCAGGTCAGTAGCCACGGGACCCCCACCTGGCCAAGTGGGGCATAGGGGCTTCAGAGAAGGGGTGAGGGCTGGAGGCAACCCCCAGGAAGCACACAGGATGGCTGGTGTGTGGGGTGGGGCGAAGAGTCAGGCTGCTCCGTGTGTGTGCTGGGCCCAGACCACCGTGCAGCCCAGGACAGCCACCTGCTGCATGAGCAGGCAGGGACAGGAGTGAAGGGCTGCGTGGGCCCCGCCCTTACCCACAGTGGCTGCTGGGGACAGCCCTGAAGGGCCAAGGTGGGGAGAGACCCCAGGGTCATCTGGCCCTCACCTGAAGGGCACATCGCCTCTACTGTCGCCACAGGCTGGGGGAAACCACAAGGTAAATGTATGTGTGACCCTGTGGGCACCTGTTTGGTATCTGGGCATGTGGCCCAGGCCTGGTGTTCCTGGGCAGACGGGGGCTTCCTCTACCCCACACTGTACCTGGGTGAAGGGACCCCCTCATCCACTGAGCCCCACAGAGAGAGGGTGGCAGCAAAGGCTCACACACCTAGTCCAATGATGCCCAGGGTCTCCCCACGGATCCTGGCAGCTCCGGAAGCCACTTCCCGGATCTGCTCGACGCTCTGGACCCGCGTTCCTTCCCGCAGCGCCTGGTGCAGCCAGGTGGTCCTGCGGTACAGGTTGAGGATGTGGCACATGGTGGAGTCAGCGGTCTCCTCCACAGACGCTGCTGGCACATTGCAGACAGCAATGCCTGGGGACACAAGACATGCCTGGGTGGTCACCAAAGCCCATCCTGGTCTTCACCTGTGAAAGGGCTGGAGGACATGTGCCCAGGCCACCCCAGGAAGATACAAGACAGACACAAGCAGGCACATGCTCCCACTGGGCAGACAGGGAGGGGACAGGATGCAAGTGTCACACTTGGTTCTGCCCCAGCTGGACCGCCTGCCCCTCAACCTTCCAGGAAGGGATCATGGTCAGGACAGACTCCAGAGCCAGCCCCACAGCCACCAACTCTACAGGGACTGCCCCTTCTGTCTTCCTGGGCTCCCAGCCAATGGGTCTCGCTTTAGATGGGTTGGCCCCCGCCCTCCCATCCCCCACAGCCCCATGATCCTCTTTCTTCCTGTCCACTGCAGGCACCCCAGACCCCCATTACCCCATGCTCTAGCCTCTACCCACCCCCCCAGCAGGGGTCACAGGAGCAGAGGAGTGACCCCGGAGAGTGAGCTGGCTCAAGCTTCCCACATTGAGCCTTGGCCGCCACTTCTCTTTGCATGTCCCCTGCATACACTGGCTGGTTCCACTGAGAGCTGACGCTGCTCCTGGGCTCGTACCCCAGGTGGCCCTGGCCCCCCTTCCATTCACCCCCTGCCCCGAGCCCTGACCCCTTTCACTTTCACCTCTGACAGCCTCCTTGACTGCACTCTGGTGCCCCTTCTGCCTCCCCAAAAAGGAGGCTCCTGGTGGCCAGGTGGGTGCCTGGCAGAGTAGCAGGGTTGCACCCCAGCACCCTGTGAAGCGCAGGTCAGCAGTCATGGAGACTAAATGGGAACCAAGCTGTCCTACCCACCTGAGAGAGCACAAAGGTCCCAGGGACTTCCGTGTCCTCACCTGCCAGGGGCCTTAAGGGGGCGATGGCCTGGCCTGGCCCCAGACTGCCTAGCTAAAGGACAGAGCTGGCCATGAAACCAAGGGCCAGCTCTGCACAGGGCCAGGACCCTGAGGGAAGTGTCCAGGCCACAGCTTGACACTGCAGGTGCCTCCCTGGAGATGTTGCCCAGGGACAGATGTTGGCAGTAGCACAAGGGGCTCACACAGGTTGTGTGAGATCAAACACTCAGCTGCTTTGGTTCTACTTCCCCAAGTTGCACCAAAGGGTAGAGAACAAGGCCAGACCCTAGAGGTACCAGCTTCAACTGTGGGCCTGCTGGGGCACAGCCTCGCCTTGCTGAGCTGTGAGCAGCACAGCGCAGAGAGCGAACCCAAGGGGGCGTCAGGGAAACACCAGACAGCCTGGAGCGGCGTCGGTGCTGGGTGTGAGGTATGCTTCTCTGTGCCACACGTGCAGACACTCACGCGTGTCCTAACTCACAGCACGAACTCTGAGACTGGAGTGCCAACTGCCCAAAAGACAGAGAACAGGAGCCCAGCAAGGCTGAAGAGAGCAGCTGTGACCCTGCACCTGCCCAGGAAAACCACGTGAGGCCCCAGACGCCAGCTCATAGGTCACCTTCAGCCAAACCAGCAGGGTTCTCAGCGGAAGTACAACACAAACTGCAGCGCAGTCACACGCAGGACATACGACAGGACACCAGGGGGAGAAACGGGCCGTCCTACCTAAGTCCCCAGCGGACTTGATGTCGATGTTGTCAAAGCCACTGCCAATCCGGACGATTATCCGAAGGGCTTTGAATTTCTCCAGGTCCTCCCGGGTCAGCGTGATGGTGTGATACATGAGCGCGCCCACCGCCTCGTTCAGCACCTGCACAGAGGACGGCTGCGGTGAGTGCCCGCCACATGCCAGTCCCCACCGGCCTGGCCCTGGGGCGGGAGGCACTGCTCCCCCGGGACCCTAGCAGCCTGACGCACAGAGAGGCCACAGTTCCCTGCAGCTCTGGTTGGGGTGGCCGAGGGGCCCGCAGCTTCCAGGGTGCGTTGCAGGCTTCCTGGGATCAGAACCCCCCTGATCCCACCAAGGGGTCCTTCATCAAGGAAACCAGGGATCCCACCCTCACGCCCGCCCACCCAGCACAGGAAGGGCACGGACAAATGCAACACGCTGAGCCTTGCGAGGACAGAGCGCCTGGCACCGCAGACCACCGGCGGCACGGAGAGCCAGAGGCCCTAACGACACCGCCAGGGGACCGGGGCCGCCACGCGACCGTCACTGACACGCAAGAGCAGTGACTCCGTGGCGGCAGAAACGCACAGTGAGTCTCAGACCGTGAACCAATTCCCACAAAGAACCTCATTGCTTTCAACGCGCGGAGGGACACGGGCGCCATTACCGGGCCTTCCATACCGTGCGGCCCGGCGCCAGGTCAGTCCGGGAGGTCACGCCCGGCCGGAACTCACTGCTTCCGGGGGCGGGGAGTGCGCCAGGCCTGCACACTGTGGATGGCGCCCTGAGACATGGGGAGGGGAGGGCAGGGTGGGCTGGGACTGCGGAGGGTCCGCAAGGTCTGGATCGCAGGCTCAGCGGGCTCAAGCACAGCCTAGAAGTACATGCAGGCCGCGAGGGGCCCAGTGGTTGTAGCGGTGCTCTGTGCACCGCTAGAGAGAGTAGCCGCGGGGATCTGGAATGAAGGGCAGAGCGGTCAGCACAGCCCTGGACCCGCCTGGGTGGTGGCCATGTGAAGCCCACAGAGACAGGTTGGTGCGAGCGTCCCGAGAGTTCAAATGACACAGACGCGCCTTTTCAAAACCGCCAACCGGCGTAGTAACCTCGGCACCGGCAGGGCCTGTGCAGGGTTGCCCCCACAGAGCTGTGATGTGGGGGGACCCTCAGCGCCCCTGCCTGTGCAAGCCAGCCCACCTTGCTCCCCAGGGGGCGCCCGTGGCTCCATGGGGGGCAGCTCTGTGTTGAGTCCACACGGGTCAAGGAGTGGCAGGCCCACATCCCAGGACCTGGTTCTCGTGGGGAAAGGATCCAGTAACAGCCAGACGCGGGCAAAGGACCCACCATGTCCACCCTCCCGGGCCAAGGGCAGAGGCTGCGAACCTGGGCCACCCCCATGGGACCCGACGGAGGCACAGGACGATACAGAACTGTCACTGTTGGAAGATGGGCTTTATTCCGGACAGAGCAGTAGGCCTTGTTATCAGGGACACCTCAGTCTTGGTAACCCAGTGACCCACAGAGACCCATGGCTGCTGCCTCTTCCTCCTCCAGACTGAGCTTCCTGTGCTGGCCCCAGGTCTCCCGAACCCCCCGTACAAGGCCTGACACACCCAGGAAAGCCTGGACTTCAGCCGTTCTGTGAAAGAGCAGCGCAGGCTTCCACGTGTGGGACGTAGTGCTGCTAACTGCCCGTCTCCTCCTACAGTGGCTCCATTTCAGCTGGACACATGTCCATCCAGAATACAGACAGTTCCCGGGGAAGTGGCCTAGAGGATGTGGCCTTGGGGACCACTGACACAGCCAGGCAGGCTTGGACTTTGGAGGTGAAGGGGGTGGCCCTGACTCTGTTCCTGTTCTCAAGGCCCGGGACCAGCTCCTGGAGGCAATAGCTGAGTGGACGTGCAGCTGTCCCGGCTGGGTCCCTGGCCCTGGGGAGGGCATCAGGCCGGGCAGGCACAGACCCTGGTGTGGAAGGGCAAGGACCATCGTGTGACAGAGCAGCAGTCAGTGCCATGATGGGCAGAGGGGCAGTGGACACTTGAGGGTCACAGAGCAGAGGGGAGAGAGCTGGACTGGTGGGACCTCAGGAAGACCCCTCTGGACCCCTTTTGCTGTGTGGACTGGCGGGTGGCCACAAGAGCCAGTGAGGAGGGACCCCTGTGGCAGGTGAGGCAGGTGTGGTGGTGAGTGGAGTGCAGGCAGATGTGTGGTGTCCACCCTGAGCAGACAGCCGTGCCCCAGAAATGGAGAGGTAGACACATCCAGTGAGACTGCGGTGTGGCCCCAGCCTCACAGACTTGTGTTGCAGAGGGAACGAGACCAGAGGTGAGCCCTGGTGCCACCCTGAGCAGGCCCGTGTGGGTCCCTTGCAGAGAGGAGGGTGTGGAAGAGGCCTGGCTGCAGACAGGCTGGACCAACAGGCCCTGGACACACAGGCTCGTCCACATGCCGGTGGCACGTGGCTTTACTCCTGGGCATCCAGCCATGGATGGCAGTGAGGTGTCCAGGCTCAGCCTCCAGAATGTTCGTTCATTTCCTGGAGGTCTGTTCTTAGAAATGCAACTAGTGGTGATCAACGGCTTCCAGCCACACCCAGGGACTCGCCCAACTTTGATCGCACAGTGCGGGGCACACCAAGGTTGAAACAGCAAGCAAGATGGATGCAGATTGGTGCCTGTGACTTTAGCTTTAATCTGAATTTCTGAGTGTGACTTGCCCACATGTTGTTCTTGGTAAGTTACTTTTCCAGGTCCTCGTGCTTTCCCCACTGAACATGCTTTCAATAGCCTGGTGCCAAGCAAAGCACTCAGAATAAAAATTTGGACGTGACTCAAAGCTACTCCTCTCCCCACAGCACAACCAGCACCGGGGGAGGGGGGGGGCACACTCAGACGCAGGAGGAAAGCCTACTGCAGTGGCGGCTCTATCTGGAGATCCACCCATGGGCCAGGGCCGCTGAGGCCGCCGTGTCTGGTGTACAGGTCCACTCTCCCTGCAGGTTCCACTATTTCCTTTCATGGTTGCAAAGTAGCTGCGACACCCCCAGGTATCATATCAATCTCCCAGGAAGTCTGCAGGAAGCCCTATGACCAAGACTGTCTCTCAGGTTAGGAACCAGCAGCCTCTCTGAGACACCCCAGCAGATGTCCACTCAGGTACCCTCTTTCTGCAGCTGTGTGACCAGGCTAGTGACTTAGCCCTGTATCCTCAATTCCGGGATGGAAGTGGCACAGGTCCTGCTGGTAGAATGCTCAGAGCACAGCCACCAGCACTCGTGGGCAACACGGCAAAGGGAAGCCAGGGCTTGGTGGGCACCGGCCTTGGCTGGTCCCTCCTCACAGAGGCAGGTGTCTCCTCACCAAGTCACGCAGTGCTGGCTCTGAGTTCTCAGGGGCGTCTTGCTGTCTCTCTAATCTTCCCAGGTCCACAAATACAGGGAGGGCAAGTCCAGTACCACTACCCACACCTTTCAGGTAGTTCCTGTGACGAGCAACCACATGCGGGCCCAGAGCGGACGCCTCGGGTTTCCAGAGCTGCCGTAGTGCCATCAGAACACAGTGCACGTCCACTGCACAAGCGCCCAGCGGCCTTGGGCCACAGCCCAGGATGTTCCCACAGCACAGGGTGCCCTGACCTCAAGGCACGGGGCCTGTTACCAACCCCCCCCTCCACTGGTCTGTCTTTGCTGTGGGCTGCAGCACCGATCGCCTGGTCCAGTGTCAGCCCTTTGGCAGCTGCAGACCCTGCAGGCACCGCTCTGTCTCCTCCTGGTGGCCGGCTGTGTTTTCCCGCATGGCCTTCCTCCTCTTCCTCCACTCACGTAACCAGCACACCCCCAGGGACACTGCACATCTCAGACAGGACCTCAAGCTCACCAGGCCTTTGCCTAGACTGAAAGCCACTTCCTGTGTCCCAGGATCCCCCAAGAGGGGACTGTTTCAGGGTTCCTGTCCCATCCACTTGTTCAGCACTGACAAACCACCCTTCACTACAAAGTCGGTTTGTGCATTTTTCCTGGATTTTTATCTCATTTCCTACACAGCCTCAGCACCTTCTTCCAGGGGCACCTCCGTTGGTGCCTGGTCCCCCGTCCTCCTTTCCAAGGGCTGCCTCTTATCTCACAGGTGCCATGTCTGAGGAGCTCCGCCAAAGCACCGGGAAACCTGCCTCTGCTGTGGGTGGGCAGGCCAGTCCGATGCGCAATCCTGGGCTGGAGACCATCTCCCCTGAAGCTTTACAGCACCCATCTTGGTTTGTGCTGGTAAAATTTGGAACTTCAATGGCACAGTGTCCTGTGGGCCCCCCCCCAGTGTGTGTTGGGTGTTGGTGGCAGGGGAACTGGAGTCCCGCTTAGTTTCGGAAATGTGATTCGCCACACGGTGGCAGTGATGCCAAGCTTTCCTTCTATAAGGGGTAATGTCGACATCCCCCTAGTGGGGGACACGTGGGGCACAGCTCCCAGGGCCTGTGGGCAGGCATCTCCTCCCCCCTCATTTCCATCTTTCTTCTGAGCTTGGCTTGACTGTGTCTTCCAACTTTCCCACAAGAATCACATTTTTGCCCACTTGAAACTTCCAGGCTCCTGTGGGGGCAGCTGTGGTTTGTGTCTCACTGACCAGTGCTCCCTGCATCAGGGGCAACTTCGGGTGGGAGGGCAGGACTCCGGCCGTGACGCGGGGCCCGTGCTGGCCTTCCAGGAGGCAGGGGCCTGGGGGCCCGATGGAGCCGGTGTCCGTCCACCATCCTGAGGGCCCTGCCCCGGGTCAGGGTGGCCGTTCACTTGCTGAGGCGGGCTTTGCATCAGCTCGCTGAAGTTTAGATAAGTTACAATTTTAGAAGAAACCATCTGTTTTGTCTTAGTATTCAAATTTATTGGTAAAACTCATTTTAACACTGCTTATGATTTTTTCAAGTTTCTATCTGCACATCTTTCACTCCATATACTGTTATTTTAGGAATATCCTGTCAGTTCGAAATAGTGTAAGATTCACCAAAACCGTAGAGGTTCCCCAGGCCTCTAGACGGCTCCCCTGGGGACCACCTCGCCCACTCCCCCAGCCCGCACCCAGCTCTGTGTGACTCCGTCACCTGCCCCTTCCGTAGCTACCACCACACAGGGGCCGCCAGCACCAGTCACCACGTGTCAGCTCCTCAGTCCGGTGCGCACCCCACCCACGCCCCCGGCAATACCACGCCCGTCACCGCCACCTCGACCGGGAGAGGCCCGCGTCACATCCTCACAGCCCTCGCAGGTCAGCCTTGCGCCCAGGACCCGACTGGCGGACCAGTCGGCGGCTCACTCCCTTGCCTGCGTCTGTGGCGCAGAGGGCGACCGTCCGCGTCTCTGGGTCCAGTCGTTGGGAGGAAAGCCGCCGTGCCCCGCCCTGCCCAGCGGGTCCTCCTGAGGACAGGAGCTGCCTTCCTCTGGGCCAAGCACCTAAGTGTGACCATGTGGGCGTGCAAGAGGCGTGGGCCCAGCTTTACAGGAAACCACACGTGATTTCCCGGGGCCACAGTCTCACCTCTGGCCATCGTCCCTTCAGCCCTGGGAGCGGTCAGCGGCGGCTGGGCAGCTGTTGCGTCCGTCCTACCCTCCGTCGCGCCGAGATGTCGTCAGCAGCGTGCGCGCTCCACCCGCGCGGCCCCTCGCCTCTGCCCCTGCTTCCTGGGTCCCCGCCCCTTCCTGCCTGACGAAGCCTCACTGCCGGCCTGGCCCTTCACTGCTAGATCTCCTGAATCACTGACCCGCATCTGCTATGTCGCCTTCATTTACCAGTTCCTCGTCGAACTTCAAGCTTGGTTCTCCCTTTGTCTGTGGCTGGCCCTGTGGCCCTGGGGGGTTTTCGCTCGGCCCTCATCGCCTCCACTGCCCGCTCACCCTTGACTGTGGGGCAGACATCTGAGACCGAGCCCAAGGGTGCCTGCTCCTAGGAGGCTGGCACCATTTGTTGGGGCAGCTGATGTGGGGTCACCTATGACCCAAGTTCAGGGCTCAGTGCAGACCGCAGAAGGGCACGTTGGGTTCCACTTTGTCCTTTCTCCAAGGCAAAGCTGCCAAAGCTGCCTTGGCCCCTCAGCTGCCTCTTCCAGAAGAGCAGGCACCAGGCCCACACCACGGGCCTGCCAGTCCCTGCAGACTCTGCCCTCACGGGACCCCGCGGGCCCTTGAATGCTGTTGGGTTTTTAAACTGTGTCCAGCTTCCTCCCCTGTCTCAGCAGAAAGGTTGCTCTGAAGTACTTAGTCGGCCGTAACTACAAACAGAAAACCAGATTAACACCCTTCACATCTTGGGGACCCCGTGACCGTCTGAGCAGACACCAGAGGTGAGGGCTGCCCACCTGGCAGGGACCAGGAAGACACTGCATCCACGTCCCCAGGCTCCACTTTCTGGGAAAAACCTGGTTATGAAGGAGATGACTCAAGAAGCCACAGAGCAAAACCCATCTACTCTCCAGACAGGGCCAGAGACAGCAACAGCCCTGCCAAACTTCCCCAGGTCCTGTCCGGTTGGCACAGCCTGGTCCCACCTGCCACCCTCACTGCCCAAGCCCCTCTACACTTTTACCTTCTCGTGGATCTCCTGTGTGGACTGCGCGTCACAGAAGGCCACGGTGGCCACGTCCTTCAGGATGGGCATCTCCACGGTGCAGTCCCGGCCATCCAGCAGTGCCACCAGGGGCCGGGGGTGCAGGGGCCCGTTCATGATCGGAGGTCGGACGCCTGAAATGACAGGCACAGCTGCTCAGCCTCCCACCCCACAGCCACAGGAAACCTGCTGGCCCCGCCACCCAACATTGCCACCCCTGAGAACAAGCATCCTCACTCACCGTTGCTGGGATCATGAGAAACCAGCCAGGAAAATTAAAAATAAGCTGGCATTCGAGACAGCTCACTGACTCCTGAACGAACAGACCAGTGGTGACCGTCACCTCCCCTATGGGCGCAGGGTGCAGAGACAGCCTGGGGGTGGGGCCAAGTCCCTGCGGCCTTATGCATCGTCACTGTATGGCTAGAACATGCAGAGCCTGACGTCATGGAACATGCCTCAGGCTACAGCCTGGCTGTCCCCAAACCTGACAGGGATGTCTCCCAGGGCATCACTTCCCTACTGGACCTGAAAGGGCAGACACCTGGGGTGCAGCTAGAACCCTGTCTTCCCACGTGAGGCTTAGCGCGACTGCAGCCAGCTACCTCCAAGTGTGAGGCAGAGCACCTCCCTCCAGGCCAAGGCAGACATGAGGGCTTCATGGAGGATGCCTGTGTGTGCTGGGCCCCGCCAGCCCCGCCCCCACCCCACAGCGTTGCAGACTCTCGCCAGGGAGCCAGCTGTGCAGGGCAGCCGCCAGGTGCAGGATGGAAGCCAGAAGCAGGGTGACTGTGCCAGCCCCCCACTGCCCATCTCAGCTACTCCTCCAACCCACCACCTTCCCAAACAGTGAAGGTGCAGACATGCTGAGGCCTACATGCCAGTGGCCCTCTGCGTGGAGCTCGCCCCGTCCCCAGGCCCGCCCTCTAGGCAGCAGAGCTGGGCAAATGCGACTGTGCCATCGTGTTTCCGGCTCTGCTGGCAGAGCAGTCGCTTTTTTATAGCATATTTTTTTCCGTTACAGTTTACTCCCTTCTACCCCTCCCCACCAACACACACTGTTGTCCATGTCCAGGAGTCCTTGTGCTTTTTTGCTCAGTCCCTCCACTCCTTCCCCCACCCCCACGAGAGCTGTCAGCCTGCTCTCAGTCTACGTGTCTGTTTCGCTTGTTAGATCGCATGTGCGAGTGCCGTCACGAGGCATTTCTCCCACTCTGACCAGCTTCCTTCACTCAGCAGAATGCTCTCCAGCCCACCCACCCTGTTGCATCAATTTCTCACGTTAAGGTGCCCCTCACCTTAGCATGTAACGGGTTCATCGCTGCTATCTTTAAGTGACTGAATAAGCACCTACTTCCAGCATTTCTCGGCTTTAATTTCCAACACTGATTGGCACAACCCACATGAGCCGAAGGCAGGGTCCTCAGCGATCTCAGCACGAAGCAGGGAGCAGAGCAGAGTCTGAAGCTGCTGCCCAGGGGACCCTCTGCTGAGGACCAGAACAGCAGACCGGGAGAAGCAGACAGAGATGCTACCGTGGGACTGCCGAGCTCGGCGTCGGGGCCCAGGGCCCGGGGCCTAGGGCCCAAGGCCCACGGCCCTGGCCAGAGGGGCGCCAGGTGCCAAAACCACACACTCGGTGTGCAAACACCCAGCACTGAGTTCACAGAACAACCAGGACAACCTCGATGTCCACCTGCTCACAGGCCGGAGGACCAGCAAAGGTTGCGGGTCTCCACCCGTGCCTCTGAGGACCCACCCTCCCTGCCGCATATGGGGCCTTGGCTCCCACCTCCTTCAACGCCTCTCAACAGAAACCAAGCATGGCAGCAAACAAGGGCACCTGGGCATCTGTTCCAGAAACACAGAGAACGCTCCCTTGGACAGCAACACTGCCCTGACCCCCTGAAGGCCCAGGGCGCACTGGTCCCTCCAACAGCACCTGGTCCCCAAGGCCACAGACCGCTCTCCCAGGGGCAGCGCCTCCTGGTGGGGCAGTGGGATGGGTTCAGACTGCTCACACTCAGAGCCCCTACCAACCTGACATTGCCTAATATGGGCTTGGCTTCCACGACCATGAATTCCACTTTTCAACGCGCGTTATCTTCTGAATCCCCAGGCAGAACCGCGTCCTGTCACTGGATCCTCATCCCACGTCTTTTATTGTCTCGCACCAAAGCTCTCAGACTCCTGATCCACGGCGACCACTGACGCCTGCGCCGAGGTCAAAGTCTGACTAAAAATCAAACACAAGAGACACGTTAAAATCCCATCGAGGGCCCACTGGAACCCACACTCGAGGACAACAGGGCTGCTCACGCACTCTCAACCCCACGCCTGCGGCTGCTGAGCTAGGACCTACCTGGAACCAGGGGCCCTGCCACCGGGACACAGCTGGGATGAAGACTCAGTAAAAGGTTTGCCCTGGAGGTCCAGCCCCCACGTCCCCTCCATGTGCTTGGGAACCACCACGGTGCTCTGCCCCACCCAGATGCCACCCATGTCTGTGAAAAGTGCACTGGGCACTGGGAGCAGGTCTGCAGCTTGCAGCCTAGAAGCTTCTGTCTCAGGTTCCTATAGCTCCCTGGGCCTCTGTGATTTCCAGTGAGGCCCCCGTGGAGGGGCTACGGGTGCAGACCCGACAGGGACAGCAGTTTCCTGCATCCCACACACAAGCCCATATGGGGGCTCCCCCAGGTCGACGTATGCACCACCGCTCTGCCCAGACATCACCCCAGGGACCAGCACTTGACTGAGGCACGGGCCTCCCCAAAGTGCCACACAGCTCATCCCAGAGGCAACACAAGGGCGAGGACTCACATGCAGGGCGAGTGTGCGTGTGGCCACACACCCATCAGGGACCAGATGGAGGAAGTTTCTGGAGCTGGGGACAAGCACAGGGGCTGAACTGTGGGTGGCTGGAGGCCACAGGTGTGCACCAGGGGACATCAGGCAGCCCTGGAGTGGCCAGCTCAGGACAGGCTCTACAGCAGGAGAGGTGTCCCTGCCCACTGCTAGCCACGGAGAGACTGGACAACCTGACCCCGCTGCAGCCCAGGGCAGCTTTGCAGATGTGCACAGTCCTCCCCCTCACAAGCCCCGGGGCTGTCAGCCACAGCAGGGGCAGCCACACACCTGTCCCGGGAGGCTATGGTGTGCTGCTGGGGCCGTCCACTTTCCAAGGTCACCTCTGAGGCTGGACATGTGTCCCTTCCAGCCCCTCTGTGGGGTCAAGCACCCACACTGACGCCTCATGGTCTGCTCCCAGGAGACGCCATGCATGGCTCCACACCAACGACTGTGGGGCTGACAGTCCTTTCTCCCCACAGCAGGCTCTGCACCAGGCCCTTGGCAGGAGGAAGGGGTCCGAGAGACCACACCCCGTAGGGGAGCCTGGGGTCCATGCAAGCCTCAGCTCCTCCTCAGTCCCACGTGGCCATGTACACGGAGTCCCTGCCAGGCCAGACCCCCACCTGGATCCTGCTCCCAGCCTCGGCCGGCGGCTTGCCAGCATCCCCAGGCTGAACCTCCCTCCGCTGTGGGTAGCAGAGCCTCTCCCTCCGTGCCCCTCTCCAGCCACAGCCACCAGCACCTCACCGTTGGGCGGGAAGTGTGTCCAGGACAGGGCTCCACCCAGGTCACAGGTGCCAGCCCCCCTACCACGCCCACGCTGTGGGGTGTGTGCAGAGGCTGAGCTGGGGGGGGCGTCCTCCCAGTGTGAAGGACAGGATGCCTGGGGCCCTGCTCCCCGAGCTCTCCAGACAGGGACTCGCAGCCACACTCAGCTCTCTGTGCTGTGACGTGGCTCCAGAAAACACCAGGGCACTCGATGCTTCCACACTGCAGGAAGCGCTCGGCAGGCTAGAACCCCCACCGTCACCCGCAGACTGAGACACCAACTGACTCCGGGGGCTGCGACCCTCCGGGGCTGTCCGTCCCCTCCACCCTGGAGGGTGAGCCAGCCCGAAGACACAGGCTGCCCTGGGGACACCAGCCCCCAGGTCACAGCTGGCTCAGCAGGGGAGGAATCCAGTCCCCAGGCCTACATGTCCCAGCAGCGAAGGACTGACACAGACCCCCAAAACAGCAGCCTGCGTTGAGCCAACACCCTCACCTCTTCACTTCCATGCTTGCCTGACTGTCACAAGCTGACTCCAAGCACACAGCACCCCTCCCAGCAGCCAAGCTGCCTGGGCACTGTGGCTGTCACAGTGAGCCACGTCCTGCACACCAGCTACATGCCTGATGGCCAGGACATGTCCCCGCCCTCCAAGGGGCACAGAGCTCCACCCCACGTGTGACACACGGGCCCTGCGCTCGGGTCCTGAGTGTCCTTGCAGCCCCAGGAGGTAAGCCAGCCCCTCAGGTGCTCGGGGCACTGCGCCACGGGCCTCCCTGAGCCCACTGCTGGCCTTCCTGTGAAAAGTTCCAAAACGAATAACCGGGTGACTCCCGCCCATGTCAGGCACCACACAACTGTCTGCTAGGCTGTCCTGCCTGCCGGCCTCAGCTCTCCATGGCGCAGTCACTCTCAGGAGGGGCCAGAGCTTGCAGCTGGCACACTCTGGGGTCAGGAGTTGCTGAGCCCCCCACCAATCACAGCAGGCCCCTGTCGCCCTTTGCAGCTCCAATGAGCAGCTCACATTCTGCTCACCCAGAACAGGGCCCCAGGAGTCCCACTCCTCTCCAGCCTCGGTGACGTGCCTGTCCGCGCAGGCCCCACACTCGGAGCCTGGGATCCGAAGGAAGCTCACAGAAGGAACACTGGGGCAGTGACGGCCCCTGTGCCTGATACGTCGTAACTGTGCAGAGAGACCCCTGGTGGGAACCACAGGACTCAAGTCAAATCGAAGAACACCTTGCAGTTAATAGCCAGCCAAGTGGAGTCACAGCCCCTGCCACAGATGGTACCTGGTGAGTCACTGTGGACACTGAGCTCATCTGCAACAGGCCACAGTCCACAGCTGGGGGGGTCCACAAAGGGCCCCCTTCGGGCTGCAGTGCTGCTGCCCCTGTCCCCCCACTAGCTGGACCTGCCGACGTTTCTTTGGAACCACCGCAGGTCCACTCCCACCAGGTCATCACCCTCCTCTATGGCCAGGCGCACAGCCCCACCATGGCACCATCTGCAGCCAGGCTCCAGGACTGAGGGGTGATGTAAGGAACCGCCTCCCCGAAGATGATATGGGCAGGAACTATGGCACTAAGAGCCTCCCCTAGTCGTCGGTGTGACAGCAGGCCTTCCCGAGTTTCGTCAAAGGATGAATGCTTCCTCCTGGGAGTCCAAGGGGCTTGGGGGACTGCCACTCCAGGACCCCAGGGTCCTAGGCCGGCACACAGCCCATGGGCAGGTCGGAGGCTGACCTTCTGGAGGAGACAAGCCCTGACCTGTGGTGTGAGGCCCTGTGCTGGGGGGGCAGAGGGAAGGGTGGTGTTTCACTCCCACCTGCATAGACAGCAGTGCCAGGGCCACCCAGGGCTTTAAGCCCTGCACCACAAAGAGTGAGGGCCAGGGCACAGCCCAGGTCCTCCCTCGTGCCACTGGCAGAGGGAAATTTTGGGTCTTCTAGGAGAACTGTTACAGGATAAAAGGCCATGCCTTTGACCACAGGTGGCACCAGGGCCTACCTGAATGGAGTCTCAGCTACAGCACAGGCTGCTGTGGGGAAGCATCGCAGCACCTCCGGAGCACAAGCAGAGCCTACTCAGAAGTCACTGCCCTGAGGCTGCTCACACAGGAAACTCCAAGGGCAGGGGACAAACCATCAACAAGAAAAGCCCCATCACCGGCCCGATGTTCTGCTCGCAGCCAGCTGGCCACCAAGCATCACCCGCCATTAGGCTGGTGGGGAGCTGAGGCTGGACCTACCTCTGAACCTGAGTGCCTTCTCCCGCAGAGAAGGGCTCCTCTGCGCCTGGGGTTGCTGGGGGGACATGTGAGGACATGTAGTACGTGGCAGGATCCTGGGGTGCCCCCACACAGGGTGGACAGGCTGCAGTGCCCCGCACAGGCCCAGATGCCCAGGTCTCTGCTGAGTGTATTTCTACACAAATGAAGTTGCTACTTTCAAAAGAAGGCAGGTCCTGGAGAGGGGGAGAAAAGGCATGCTGTCCAGGCCCCCAGTGCCCATGTGCACACAGCCTGACCCTCCAGGGAGAGGTAGGAGCTGGGTAAGGAGGGGTTCTGCGTGCAGGGGAGAAAGCCACCGAAAGCCATCCATTCACCTCTCCAAGGTGGTGGCTCCCTTCCCCCAACAGGAAGGCGAGTCTGCCCTATCCCTAACCAATCAAAGAGGTCACCAGAGGTCACTCCTGTGAAGGAGTCTGGCTCCTGGCCAGGTTCAGGCTGCTCCAGGAACTGCCAGCTTAAAGGCTGGTTCACATGCACCTCCGAGGTGGCGCCCTGGTTTCTTCGCGAGCAGGCTGAGACTGGGCTGGGTGCCCTGCCAGAGAAGGCTCCAGCCTCCAACCCCCAGGCTCAGGTGTAGTGGCAGCCCCGCCCTCCCGCAGACCAGAGCCCCGGGGATCTGCAGGCCTGAGGGGGGTGGGCGAGGGGGCAGGATGGGGAATAGGAAGCCGAAGACCCTCCGGCAGCTGGGAGACCTACCGGCCCCTCCCTGCCCCACCCTCAACGGCCCCTCCCAAGAGGAGGCCCCAGCCCTGGCAGAGGCTGGAAGTTAACAAGGACTGCAAAGTGGACAAGATGGCCACCGGCAGTCGGGCAAGACATGAAAGCAAGCCATCGTCAGGCCAACTGCCACTGAAGGGCCATCCCCAGCTCAGCCTGGCCCCTCCACAGCCCCAGGCTCAGGGACCCCCCAGTGTGGCTTAGACTGCCCGAGAGGGCCCTTGTCTCTGACGCCTTTCAAACATGAGGGGGAAAGGGAGCCTTGTGACAAACACAGTTGGGGCCAAAGCTCTTGAATTATTAAGGTGGAAACAGACTGGCTCAGGAAAGGGCTGCAGTGTGCAGTTTGCTAAGTTCCGGCAGCGCAGATGGGCTGCAAGGCTGGGGGGGCCTCCTGATGCCCCCACCTGTGCACCCACGAGGGGGGCTGCAGGGCTGTGCCAGCTGAAGGCTACAGAGGGAGGGCCGCCTACCCCACCAGCTGGACGCTATAATTTCATACATTTTTAGAAATGGACAAAACATCCCAATGATAGTACAGAGCCAGCTGTAAAACTAAGCGCCGCTGAAACCCCCCAAATAAATGACGGGGGTTGGAGCCAGGGTGC